TATTTGGGACAGATGAGACTCCAGTGATTCTGATAAAAATCTCATGCACAGGAAACATTTAAAGAGAAATGAAGATTACTAAGCTTTTACTGTCTGACCTGTATACACAAAAAGTTCCCTACTCTAGTTTATCATGTCTACCATCACTATTGACAATGGTATTCTAGCTTAGGGTTATGTTCAGATATCCATTATAACTCACAGTTTTCACATGCTCATAACTTTCTGAAAAATTCTTCTTTCCAGCTAAAATTTCCATGCTTGGTCTCAGCTCAAAGATGAATTTCTTTAGACAGTTCAGTGAAATCTGTTAACCTATTTTTCAGTTATACAAGATTAGAAAAAATACACTGTACATTATAACCATTTCTAATATTTTAGTATAAATATACAAACATACAGAACTAGAAAACAATTGAATTTTACATGCAGACAGATTTCCAGATGATTAGTCCTCACCCAAGACTAATATTCATGTTAACACATAAACCAAACTAAACATACAAAAGAATTTATGTATTTTTTATTTATACTAAGTGATGAAACAAGGCCACTAAAAATAATACTGCACACAGAACTGTGGAATGCTATGGTTACAGAATTTTAATATTTTCAGGTGACGTAAGCTCTGTTCTGCTGTTCCAATGCAGATTTCCATCAACTTATGCACCTTGAAATTGTCACTCTCAGCGTATCAAATTAAGAGTCATTAATGTTTTCAGCTTTTCTTTTCTCTTACATAAACTCCAAACTTACAAATTTAAACACTCCAGAGTAAGATAACATCAATTAGATTTGCCACATAAAGCTTAATCGATATGCATTGATCAGCAGGAGCCTGGCTACTAGTTCCTTGATCAGGCAAGAAGTCCATTGGATAAAAAAGGAATAAAGCAATCTCTACAGAGCTTATGTTTTTGAGTATAAGATTAAAAATATACTTTAGTATGGAATGTAGTTAATGTGTCATTCGAGCCCCAAATCCTTAATTTCTGCCACTAGAGCACAGAAATACAAGGACGGTGTTAACTTATATTCAACTTTTCTGAATCTTCTAGAACCATGCACATTTCCAAAATTTTTAAATTATCATTTTGATTCAGAAAAGTGCTTATAGTGTGCTTACGACTTTTTCTTGAAGACAACATTTCAAGTCACTTGGAAGGATCTGCTTCAGTTTTACTACATTAAATGAAAGTTAAGCACATGCCTAAATGCATTTTGATTAGGAATGAAGACTAAAGGTTTTGCCCACAACCTATACTGATACATATTTTAAACCTGTGTTATTTGTTACTGCTGTGCTTTAAGTCTGATTAAATGAAGTTGTTATGATTTAAAATTGGGATAACCACAGTAAATTTCGCTTAATTTATTTTATTATTTAATCTATTGTTAATCTAATGACATTGAGTAGGAGTTTTTGTCTGTTTATTTGCTTTTCAAAAGAGGTCTTTCACATAGAAAAATACAACATGTCGTCTTCTGCTGTATTTCTATGTAGCTGTTTGGTGTAATGACTTACTAATTTGAAGCGCATTTTAAAGTTCAATCAAATACTGAAAAGAACACTGATTGAGAAGCCTGCATAGATTTCAGTATTCTTTATGAGTCATAACACTGATTTTGGAAGCTTAGTTATCTATATAAGCTGGTGGTGTGCAACATCCTTTCCATACTCCTAATTATGTGAATTAGCATTTAGAACAATCCCAAGTTCAAGTATTCAAAAATGCTCTTTTCAGAGCATCCACCAGGTTTACTGCAAGATAGGCACTTGAAGGAGGCTTTGGTTTTCATCCTGGGTACTTATGAAACATCAGTCTGTACAATTCAAAGTCACATGTAAAAACTTAACTACAGAATTTCCACTAAATTTATTGATGATTGCACAGAAATTGCCCACAAAAACAAAAAAAAAAACAAAAAACAAAAACAAAACACCAAAAAACCCACCCCAAAACTCCCCCAAAACCCCCATTTTTTTAATGAAAAAATACATTTAAAATTCTAAATGCTTTTTGATTTAAAATCCAGTTCTAACAGATTTCTAGGGCCACATGCCCATCAAAAGCACTGAGATTTTGCTTGAATGAAGTCCAAGTGCTGACTTAGGTCTCAGCTCTTTGCTAATATAAATGTATCTGCAAGACACACTGTGTGTGTATGTTTACCTTGAACTAAAAGAAATTGTAAGTAAAGATGAAGGATGCTAGTATTTCTTAGACATATATTTATCCTATTTTCATTTTTCCCTATTTTAACATCATCCACAACGATTCCCATGTTCTTTTCAAGACCCAGCAAGTTAGTGAATATACATAAGTAACCTAACTCAACATTAGATGCAGAGAAATTAGCTATGTTAAACATGAAGAAAACAGTACAATGGCACAGTATTAAGTATCTCTTCCTAAAGGAATTTGTAGAAAAAATTTTCAGATGCTGTGGTATTAGCACACACTACTGTTCAGTAAGATCTTTAAATCTGAATACTTTGCTTAAAGACCATACTCTATCACAAATTTTTTAAAAATACCTATGATGGTGTATTTCACTCCTGTGCAAATGAATATAAGCTAAAATGCATGGTAATTTTATGAATTACAGACAGAAGAACAGGAAGATTGCTAATGATTACTACCATTGATGGTTATAGTACTCCAGCCAAAATTAACAAGGAAGTCTAAGAAGACTACATCCTGTAACACTCATCATTGTGAGGAAAAAAACCAAAAAGACACTATATCATTCCCCACAGAATAAAAATATACAAAGTCAGATTAGGTAACTGTCTTCCTAAGAAATAATTGTATTTTCATTTGCATATAATAATACAGTTTTTTTCAGGGAGCAATCCCAATCACGAGTATCTACTGACTTCAAAAAGGATACACTAAGAACTCAGTGAAATTTGAATCAGATCCATATATAGTTATAATTGCAGATATTATTAAATGGAGACCAAGGTATTTAATGTAATAAATAGCAGTAACTCTGGAAATACTGCTAAGCTGTTTTTGTATGGGTGTGAGAGTTTTTTTCCCCTCATGTTCAATTTTGCCATGCAGAGCTTACACATTCTGTCAGGTAAAAAATTCTGGGTGTCGCAACTGCCTCCAGATGTTGCAGAGGATAGAATAATCTTTCCACATCCAGATACTATAGGGAGTTAAGTCTGAGTTTTCTGATAGAGTTTGTTAAGCTAATTTACACCTAAATTAAAATAATCTCAGACCAGAAAAGGAATGTGTGGTTTGGAAGGATAATGTTTTGCAATTAAAACTGAGGAGAAAACTTCAGACTAGTAAGCACAGACTTTGCAGAACTCTTCTATAATTTATTGGGGGGTTTTGATAGTTTTTTTTTTTATTTTTAAGTTATGTTGACAATGTGTGCACGGTGCTGTGAGATGGCTTAGGGAGTAGACCCTTCTTTAAAGTCCCTTAGAGAGATCAGGTGTTTGTGAGATTCTTCTGCGGGGTTTTCAGTGTCTCTCATAAGAAGGAGTTTTGTCTGAGCAGCCACTTTAGCAGAACTGCCTCCAAAGTGCTTGTTCTATTCTTAGCACTTTGTCAGTGTGACACCTTACAGACATGCAAAGTCAGGACACACTCCCGGGAACGGCACATTCACCTCAGATAAGGCTAACGCCACAGCAAGGGGATGACTTTGTCCTAAACTTGCCTGCCGCCAAAATCGTTTCGCAGAGGCAAGCCTAACTCTCGCCTGGCTCGCCGGGATCCGTGTCCCGGAGGAGCGCGGACCAGCCCCGCCGCTCGCAAGGGGCGCGGGCGCGCCGGGCGCTCCCTCACGGCCCCGCCGCCTCCGCAGCGCTGGCGCGCGGCCAGCGCGCGCCGCGCGGTGCCTTGGCGCCACCTACGGGCCGCGCGCGCGCGCGCTCCCGCGGAGCCCGCAAGACGGGCGCCCGGAAAATAAATTAAGACAGCACCGCGTTTAAATCTTTATTAGCAAGCAGCTATTAGACCTAAGGAAAGGAAAAAAAAAAA